AATATTCATTTAAACATGATATTCCACTCTGAATTTCCACAAAATTGTCCTCTAATATTTTCAAAACATTTTCCTCCCTAAATTTCTACAAAATTACCCACACTTTATTTTCAATTTTCCAACGAAAATGTCTACATAATTTCCTACTTAAATTTCTACACAATTTTTCTACTTAAATTTCTACACAATTTTCCTACTTAAATTCTCACATTTTCCTCCCCTCCCAAAATTTCCACTAAATTTTAATTCATAATTTTCGTCATATTTCTAACTAAATTTTCCCCTCCAATATTTCCACGATATTTAAAAAAATAAATAAATAAAAATTACTGTTAACTTTACACTGGGCGTGTATAGAAGGAACTGTGTGTGACGTCATAAAACTGAACTAATATTTTATGTTTCTATTTCTGTCAAAATTTGCATGAATTATCGCCAGCACGACTATTATTTTCATTTTAAATTTCAAGAATGACAGTTTTTAAAATAAAACGGGAGTGATCTCCCCTAAACTTTCTCGAATATTCTTATATAAAACAACAGGGGGTGGGAACTCGGGATATAGTAGGTAGTCCAAACTGAAATTAACTATTGATTGCAGACTTCTGGAGTGAGTATGTCATGAAAGAACTTTTAATTGTAAGCTCTATGCCACAAATTTTATAAAAATATCTTAATAAATAAAAAAGTTATGCGATTTTAAAAAAAGCAAAATTTGGTAAAAAATTGATTTTTAAAAAGTGCCATTTTTGAGAACCCATATTTTCTAAACTAAATAACATAGAAGTGTAGAAATTGGTAAAGTTACTGCAAAGTTTGTAATATATATGCCCAATTTTTTATGAGTCTTTCTAAGGTAAAAAAATAATTGAAAATGACAAAAATGCGTTTTGGTCACTTTTATTTTCATAATTTTTTTTTTTTTTTTTTTTTTTGCTTTGGACATAGAATAACTCTAAAACTATTTTGTTGGTAACATTAACAGGAATAATGTGTTCATTATTTTCAAAAATCACATGAGTTAAAATATTATTTTAAAAAAATGCCACAGTTATCTAGAGCAGGAGAAACAGAATCAAAATTTAGTGGAGTAATGTAATGTAATCTAATAAAGACGTGATGCCTACAAGTAATGCAGCAGTTGCTGCTACATTCAAACCTATTGGGTTGATAACTGCTTTGGGGGAACAGTTTTTAAAACGACAACTCCACATCTTTGTATGTCTTGTTTCCCCCAACCTTGATCTTGTGGAACATCAAGAGTAAGTGATATGTTTTGGGAACTGTAGTTGGGGGGGGGGGGCTTGGCCTTCTTCCCTTCCCTTGTAAGGAAAGTTCTGGATAGGCCACCATAAATGTCTCCAGCTATGGAATAAATAATTGATTTAGTGATTAATAAAATATATTTAAATTTACTACTAGCCTATTGTGTAGGCCTACTATTTATCCTGTGACTGTAGCTGGAAACATGAAAAAGCATGAAAACACCTTTTTTGTTCCAAGAAATTTATACTTGATAGTATATTTTGAACATTAATTCTATTGAATGAAATATTCGTTGTTTGTGCCACAATGGTTGAGATATCCAATGATGAAGATGCCATACTGTGGTTCTCAACATCATATAGGACAAATTAACTGTCCTTCAGTGTTACTATATGCACATAAAATAAATAAATAATGAGAAATACTACTAGTACTACTTACACTTACAACTAATATAACATTTAAAACTAAGTCACAACATGTACAATCTTATTAAATTGCACCACCATCTAAAAAATGATCTGGTACATTTTATTAAGGAGACTGGCGCAGACCATTTCACATTATTCAGCAGGGGAATCAGAATCAAAGTGCACAACAGAAAATTAAAAATTAATCACATTAGTCCTTAAAATTTAGTGTCTTTTGTTTTAAATAAATTGATAAAAATGTATAGTTATTACAATTATAAGTTTCTTTTGTGTTTCAATAATATTTTATAAGTATTTAACCTTCGTTCCCTGTAAATAATTGAGTTCGTCCACATAGTAACCAAGAATGTCTGGTGGCCATTTTGAATTTGTCGATTCATAATTTTGACGCGATAGTCCAGATAAACTGTAGTAATACGACCCTATCATTAATCCCATTCGATAGATTTTAAAGAATTAGTAAACACTAGCATCTAATAGTTAAGTGCATCCATATTTTAAGTCCCAAGAATGTCCTGAATTAAATAGCTTCACGTTTAAACACACCATGTGTACAAGCGTAGTTCACACGCTAAAACCGTGGACTAGTAGGGTTCAAATTTACATTAATAACGTGTGCTGATTAAACCAAACTGACATTCAAACTTAAAATTCATTTATTAAAATGGAAATGAAACTTTAAAAATGATACTTACAACTTGTTTGAAGGCTCTAGCAAGGGTAAAATCCGTTTAGCATCATCGGTCGTCAACCTTTAAAACCGTTCGGCGAGCAACTGACTCGGGGCTGAAAGTTGACTCGAGGGTTATATGCTTATTGAGGGTACGGCTTCGCGACCGTAAATCAGAAAGACTTGAATTTACAACACAAAGTAGTTATAAAAGTGAACTTTACATCGGTGTAAAGATTGAAACAGAATTAGTTTGTTTTCGTGTATATATCGTCATTTAAAGTTTAAAAACTGATTTTTTAAAATGAAATAAGCAAGTTATTTTTTCAATTTATACATCAAACGATAGCCTAGAATTCGCTCTTTAAAATGACATTAAGATTATGCTTCTACAATGCTTCGTCGCGAAGCCGCAACCAAATGAAACAGTGTGGGGTCGATCGGTACACGCAAAACGGTGAAATTTGTTGACGTAACTGATACTTTTCAAACAAATATAAAACACATTCAAACATGTGTTACAGATATAAAAATACCATATTACGACAGATAAAGGCTTAAACTTTATTGACATATAATTTTTATTCTTATAGGACAACTAGAAGTAGTGAAATTTTATTTTTGAAAACCGCAAAAACTGACCCTAAAACGCACTTTTTCGCCAGTTTGGACTACCTAGATATAGACATGATTTTTAATCCATTTTAAATACTTAAACTTTTAACAATAGAATAAAATCTCGTGGAAAAAGAATTGCACACCAAGTGAACGCCAAATAAAATGTGCATATTAGTGCGTAATATTATTAGTACTTTATAAATTTACATTAGTTTTTTGAGAAATCGGAAATAGCGTAAAGTACTACTTACGGTAAACGGAAATTACTCAAAATTTGACAGAAGGTAGAGAATTAGATCTTTTACTGACTTGTGAAATTTCATTTATCTATCTGAAATCGTACTCAAGTTATAGGCTTTTGAAAAATTTAAAGTAGAAAATGTACCACTTCCGGTTATCGAAAATCGCTCAAAAGTTGAAAAGGATCTACGATTTTGATAAAACACATATATGAAATTTCACCAACCTAGCTGTAACGGTACTCAAGTTATCGTGTTTACACACACTGACATAGACACATACACACACAGACATACGGACAAGATTGCAAAACTATGTTATTCCGACTCAAGGAGGTGTAAAACGTCGAGATTTGCAAAAATCTGTTGTTGTTTTTTTGCACGATTACAAGACTTTCTCTATACTTTGTATATTCGAGAAAGTAAAAAGTAAACGATACATTAAAAGCCTGATGGCGAAATGACGTAATTTAAAACGGACAGCTATACGATAGTTATTCTGTCTAACCCATTCATAACAATATCTATATCTACAAAAGCACACCTGTCTCGGTTTCACAACCTGTCGACAACGGTAATCGAAAACTTTATTACATTACGTCAGAGAAAACAAAAATTCTATAAAGACATTATCATTAATTGCGTGGGCGGGTAATTGCATAGTAGGAATACATTGACGTCGCCAATCAGACGATTTAGCTACCTGAATTTCTACGAACATTGTCACATCATTTTCATCAAGTTTTATTTCTTATTTTCCCCACAAAATATTCCTTTAAACATGATATTCCTATCTAAATTTCCATAAAAATTGTCCTCTTCAATATTTGAAAACATTTTCCTCCCTAAATTTCTACAAAATTACCCACACTTTATTTGCAAATTTCCCATTTTTTTCTACACAATTTTCCTACTTACATTTCTACACAATTTTTCTACTTACATTTCTACACAATTTTTCTACTTAAATTTCTACACATTTTCCTACTTAAATTTCTAAACATTTTCCTACTTAAATTTCTACAAAATGTTTCTACTTAAATTTCTACACAATTTTCCTACATAAATTTTCACATTTTCCTCCCCTCCCAAAATTTCCACTAAATTTTCATTCATAATTTAGATCTATGTCATATTCCTAAATACATTTTCACCTTCAATATTTCCACATTATTTTCAAAAAAAAAAAAAAAAAAAAATACAGTTTACACAGTGCGTGTATAGAAGGAACTGTGACGTCATGTAACTGAACCAATATTTTATGTTTCTATTTCAGTTCAAATTTGCATGAATTATCGCCAACGCGAGTATTATTTTCATTTTAAATTTCAAGTATGACCGTTTTTAAAAAAAAAAGTAAACGATACATTAAAAGCCTGATGGCGAAATGACGAAATTCAAAACGAACAACTATACGATGGCTATTCTGTCTAACCCATTCATAACAATATCTATATCTACAAAAGCACACCTGTCTCGGTTTCACAACCTGTCGACAACGGTAATCGAAAACTTTATTACATTCCGTCAGAGAAAACAAAAATTCTATAAAGACATTATCATTAATTGCGTGGGCGGGTAATTGCATAGCAGGAATACATTGACTCTATCTTTGCCGTACTTGGTGTAATTTTTTTTTTAAACAGTGGAAGAAGTGGTCATGTTTATGTCACGCTGCTCGACCCCACTAACGTTTGCACACGTACCGCGGCAGACGTCGCCAATCAGACGATTTAGCTAATCACGAACTTTGCCGTGAACACAGAACGTATAATATCCGACGCGCAGTAGAGTCGTCCCGCGTAGTAACAGCGTTCACATCGCACTACTTTTTGTTTATAGTTTTTCAAATATTTCATTCATGTTGAACAACTCACATAAACTATTGGACGGAGTATTAGAGATTCGGTGAATTAATAAATTTTTCGAACTTTTGCTGTTTCAATATGCACGGGTACACGACAAGAATTGCAGGTATATAAACATCTTTAGTACTATGATTATTAATTTCTAATTAAAGTTTCACAACTTAAGTGCCACATTTAAAACTTGTGTAATTACAAGAATATTATATTGATGACATTATACAAAAGTCCATTTAAATGTGCGACCGAAAAATTCCCTGGTACGACGGCACCCATTTTTCGTGTTTAATAAATAATTATTATGTAATACTAATAAAAGACAAAACATGCTCAGTGTAATTTTTTATTTAAATAATTTAGATAAATGCGCAGTAGATCCCTTTTATTATTGTAAATTTGTGGCAGACATTGTATTAATAATAAATGATTTAAGCAGGATAAAGTGCGACATTTCAGACAAATAATTTAGTGTTTAGAAATTTATAATGACAAATTAACAGAAATATTACGATAAAAAAACAATTATTAAAATGGGTATTAAAGAATTTAAAAAAAGAATGAGATTTATAATTACAAATACCTGGTGTAGTTTTAAATATTTATGTAACACGTAAATAACACGCCGGCCGATTTTATGACGTATGAATTTTGAATGAATGTTGTGGATTAGCTTTCGTACAAGACTAATCGAATTTTAGAAAACTTTTGATAATAATCGAATCTGCGTGTCGACTAAGCGGCCAGTTAAAAAAAAGTATCTAAATTAAAAACAAAATTATCAATATCAACAACATAAAAACAATAACAAAACGACCTCTCCAGTTATCAGTTATACGTTCGAAACACACTAGCGCCATTGCGTCGATAAAGGAATTCCTCGATGCCAAAATATGATTCCGTATGAAAATATCAGCACTGTGATTTTTAAGTTGTTCCATAGAAATAAAAAAAAAAAAAAATCATTAACACATTACAGTCATCAAAGTCGATTGACTTCTATCGCCAGTGTCACAGAATGTCATCACAAGCGAACGGCCGTGCGATGAATAGTAACAAAAATGTTTCGATCTTTTACTCCACTAAAACATAATAATAACCCAATGAAGCGTAATGGCAAAGATACTTAAAAAAAAATTAAGGTGGTGTAGATAGCGCCCTAACTATATGGTGTATATTATGTTAGGAACAGCTTGTCTACCAGTGTATATACATAATTTTTATCGATAAGTAGTATATAAAACATTAAGGTTAAATAAATAACCAAATACTTATACATACAATAATTAAAAGTATATATACTAGTTATATTCATACATATATATAGACTTGCATATAAATTAATATAAAGATACATTTTAATATTTTGTGGAGTTTTTTAAGTGTGTATAAAATAATGATAAATATATATAAATACACGATGTATATATATTGTACATATATATATATATATATATGTGTGTATGTATTGTCTATTTACATATACATCATGTATGTATGAATACATACATTGGTTGTATATATAAATATAAATATATATATATATATATATATATATATATATATATATATATATATATATATATATATATATATATATATATACAATTATCTAATTGTATATATTTGTTATATCATATACAAGCTAAACATTTTACAACATATATTAATGAATACATATATTGGTTATATATATATGTATATATATATTGTATAAATTATATATATATATATATATATATATATATATATATATATATATATATACATATATATATACATATATATATATACATATATAACTGTAATTTCAATAACCTAACTATAATTGTATACCTGATTTTTAAAAATACATATAAATACCTTTAAATATAATGTGCAGCACTTACATTTTTTGAAAAAAAGTTTTTTTGAATATAAATATACATTGTTTTATTTATAAAAGATATTTTGTAATATTTATAAAATGTTCTATCTTTATATATAGGCCCTATATAAATATAAATATATATGTATATATTTATATGTATACAATATATATTTTTATTTATCTACAAACATCATTTTTCTAGAACCAGAATGATTTTATACAATTTTTTTTTGGGTTTTAAAAGATCTATGCATCATGTATTCACCAATGTCACATGGTGCAAACATGTATTAAATTTATTAAAAATATCATTTATAATTATTTAACAAAAATATTTTCTCATCAAAGGATTTGGCCATATTAAAATTACTACCCAAAAGTTCATTATTATCAAAGCAAAACAAAAATTAAACCGTGGTTGTCAACTTTGTTTCGAAAATGTATATATATATATATATATATATATATATATATATATATATATATATATATATATATATATATATATATATGTATGTATGTATATATATATGTATGTATGTATGTATGTATGTATGTATGTATGTATGTATGTATGTATGTGTGTATATATATAGTATATAATATTAGGAGCTTGTTCTAAGTTACTTATAATAGTTTGGCTTCAATACACTGCGAACAACAACCTTATGACCAGTGCCAGAGTCACAGCGGGGATGTTTTCTATTTGGTTTACCCAATTTTTAGAATTGATCTTTAATATAAACTAAACTTCGATCTTCTGATTTGAATATTTTAAATTTCTCTAAAATATCCGTTAACAATATAAATTTCTTAACTAGCATGTTATTACATTTATGCTTTGACACTATCACCGTGACAAAGTAGCTGATGATGACATACTATTTTTTTAAGCTCACGAAAACACACTTTCTTCTTCATCTTCTTCGTTCTTAATTTTTGAATATGGTGGAGGATTCAGACAACAAGTCCAACTTCGTGGACAAACCGGACTGTGGTCTCCAGTTTGTCAGGTGTCCCATATAATTTTTCCCTGAGTGGGGTGGGCTGGGGCCAGTGTCTGACTCTTGCCTGGCTATACAGAGTACATTCCTGGAGTACGTGCTCCGTGTTTTCCGGGGCCTTGCCACAAGGGCACATTTCGCTACACCCAACCTTCAGTTTTCTGTGCATGTGTTGATTTAGTCTGATGTGGCCTGTTCTAAGTCGAAAGATTATGTATTGTTGTTTTAAAATTTAATTAATTTTGAGTGGAGTGAATAAAAATATATGCTGTTGCAATAACAAATAATATTCCACATTTTTATTTCCCTAGTACTAGCAAGTTAAACAGAGATTAATTAAAACTACATTTTAAAATGTTTACCCGACGCGACATTAAAATCTTGTACCTGGTTACAATCGCGTATTGTTTTAAGAAATATATTTATCGATTTTGTTCATAGAACACATAACACATGAAACCTGTCTCACGTAAAGTTACAGCTGTTCGACGATCGTGTGCTCAAGTTGTTTTATGTCTACAATTTCCGAAACATTAAATGTCACAGATTAGTAAATAACAACTGTCCACTTTTAAAATCACATGAAATACGCACACACGCACATTATATATATATATATATATATATATATATATATATATATATATATATATATATATATATATATATAATATACAAGTTCAGATTTAGTTACAAATAATCTTAGATATGTAAATATATTTATGTATAAAATATATATACGACTATGGGTATATCTATCTATAAATATCTATTTATCGATCTATAAATATATCTATCTATAAATCTCTCTGTCTCTGTCTCTCTCTCTCTCTCTCTCTCTCTCTATATATATATATATATATATATATATATATATAACGTGTGTCAGGTACCCATCAGAGCTGGGTAGACACAGGGACGTTCTACAGTCCCGCGTGCGGACCGAGTTCCAAACATGAAGCCTTCGGGCCATTAGCTGAATGCTCTACCATTCGACCACACCGTTCAAAACGACCAGTTGCTTCCTACACTTCGACATAATAAATTATGTTTTCTTTTTAAACAACTAAAGGAATTTTTTTTCCTCAGTAGGGAATAGAAACACACTCTGGCCAACTGGCAGTTGTAAAACCTGCTCACGCAATCAAGATTTAAACTACGTATCTATCTATATATAATTCTCTTCTGGGAGACGCTAGAAAACAAGCTGTAAACGCGCTCCCTACCACCCCCACCCCTACATGGTCTTAGTGAGCTGTGTTCACTCTAAATGTTTACAAGCAGAGCCGGGTTTAGTGACGACTATTAGGGCAGATAATTTAGTTTGAAACGATTTTAAACGTAGGGGGAGGGGGGAACTAAGTCGAGTTTACTTTAACGGAGGGGAGGAGGAGGGGGGTTATCGTCCTTAACGAGCTACTTATAGTGTTTTAAAGAAATATTGTCAGTGGCAGCGTTGGTACCGTCGAATTCACAAATTATGAATTACTGAAAAGTAGAAAAAACAACAACTAAATACCGGCGTATGATATGCCGCGGGTCGGCTCGTAAAATTATATTTGGATTAAATGTCGAATTAAAGCGAAAGGGGGAAGGAATGGGGGGGGGGGGAGGGGGGATTGGTCCTTAACGTGCTACTTATAGTGTTTTAAATAAATATTTTCAATGAATTACTGAAAAGTAGAAAAAAACAACTAAATAGCGGCGTATGATATGCCGCGGGCCGGCTCGTAGGCTCATAAAAAGTCATATAGCACACAGCGCATACAAAATAATTTTTCTCACAAGATTTTATACTCATTAGAGATTATATTTTTCTGACCCAAAGTTAAGTTTTTGATTACTTGGTTCGAGTACATTAATTTGTCGGAACTTTAAATATCTTTACCCCTTATTTTTACTTTCTCGTATATACGAAGTATAGAGAAAGTATTGTAATCGTGCAAAAAAAAAAAAAAAAATAAAAAAAAAAAAAAATCGAGATTTTTTCAAATCTCGACGTTTTACACCTCACTGATACGGAAAATCATAATTTTGCAATCTTGTCCGCATGTCTGTGTGTCTGTCTGTGTGTCTGTCTGTGTGTAAACACGATAACTTGAGTACCTTTACAGCTAGGTTGATGAAATTTCATATATAAGTATTTTATCAAAATCGTAGATCCGTATCAACTTTTGAGCGATTTCCGATAACCGGAAGTGGTACTTTTTCTACTTTGAATTTTCAAAAGCTTATAAC